GAATTGAGAAATAAATTGATGACAAATTCCGGTCAATTTAGGTTCCACATTTAATTGAATATTATAAAATAATATTATATATTATATATTATACTATATATTATATACTAATTATATATTAATAATTATATTATATAATAATCATATATATTAATTATATTATTAATTATATATAATTGTATAAATAACAATATTTTATATTTATAATTTTATTTTACATGAAATAATAATAATAATATATATAATATAATTATATTTTAACAATTCTAATATTAATAAAAGAAGAACGAGTCAACTTATAATTAATTAGTTCGCTTCAGAACCTCCGTCATAGAGTTTAATTTCGCGAAACCGATGTCGTAAAGTAAATCTCAATGTTTGGATAATAAGACCGGCCGGATGATGTAAATGTACGGAGAAAATAACGATCTCGGGAACAGGGTAATAAAGCTTGGATCGCGGAATATCTCTTTTAAGATTTTTATTAGGTTCCTCGAAGTCTCGGAATAGATACATTTTTTAACGGCGTCCGGCCGACGGAAAACTTCAATATTTAAGAAACGGGATACACACAGATGAGATAAACGTTCGTGGGTCGTAACGGTCGCATAAATCCACGCGACGAAGATCTGCTCGTGGCGATGGGGAGCCGCGCGTTCTGGCCCGAGCCAGCCCGAAGTTTATCAACAGCAGCAGCGTTCTATTTGGGTCGAAAATAGAGTGCACGCACCGCTCGCTTTCTCCTGCTTTCTCTCTTGTTCCCGCGACCCGCGTTACGTCCGTTCACCCTTGTTCAGACCAAGAATATCCCCGCTGGAGGACAGCGGAGAGGGTCCTCTTTGCCTTTTAATCGTCACCAAACCCAGCACGAAACAGCGACTACCGGCGGTTTCGGGATCCTGCGGCTTCGGAAAGTATCGGGACGCTTCCATTTACGACTCCTAACGAGTGCAATGTATACATTGCTGCAGCACGCGCGCGCTGCTTTACTTATTTATTCATTTCACACGAATATCCATTAGCGCATGATAAAGTTGAATTTTACATGTATACTATCAGCGAACGTCGATCAGTTCAATGTTATCGATTGTAAGGAAATTTTTCTCTATTTTTTATAGTAACTTGTTTTCATATTTGTGAGAATAACATAAAAATTATATTTTTATACTGACGGAGATGGAGAAAGAAATATGCAATATTAAAGTTGATCGTATTTTGGGAAATAATTAAATCGTCACAGTGAATTAATCGTTAAACTTATTTGGTCTCCTTTTTTGTTGATTGATCTTTACGAAAAAAAGTTATTTATTTACCAATATAATAAACATATTGTTCTTTCCATTGTGCTGGAAATTGTTTATAATACGTGGCGTGTTTATTGTTTCGATGTTATCAAATTTTCAACAAGAAATATTTAATAGTTTATAAAATATACAAGGAGACGGCCAAATTAAATTAACTTCATGTATATATACGTATCTTCAAAAATTTTGTTTAGGTTATTTTAACGTCTTTCCGTTTTTCCATATTTTCATCTATTTCTATTAATTCTTCAAATATTTCATGAAATGGTATTCTTGTCTTTAAGCTCGCAGGCTATTTTCATTTCTTAAACATAAAAACGGATACTCATAAAACATGTACAGGGTGGGCCGGAATACAACCGAAAACGTGAAAAGATAAGAAAAAAATTTGGTGTAACATTTTTTTATCCGGCGCTCCGTTTTCCAGAAAATCGACTTCAAAGTTTGTTCGACTACGTACAACATTCAGTTGTCGTCTATTTTTCGATGGCAGTTGCCTCCGTCCGAGATAGTGTTTACAAACATTAATTGTCGATAACTACGTATTGTCCGCTGCTCAGAAGAAATCGGCTAAGAAAAGTGTAGGACCGATTCCCATCAACCTACTCATATTAACGTCCTCGCAGAAATAGAGTAAACGCGTTTCCCTTATCGGCAGCAATGATCCCTTCCTATTAGCCCCAAATTAGCCGCAGTACTGAATTTCCACGAAACGAGGGACTCGAGTTCGGCCGAATAAAAACAAACAACGCCTTCTGACTCCCGTCACGTCTCGCTCAACCGTGGTTACCATTCTTGGCTAGGAGCACGTGTGCCTATGCTTTCTCTCTCTCTCTCTTTCTCTCTCTCTCTGTCTCTCTTCCTCTCAGCCCCTCTCTCTCTCTCTCTCTGCCTCTCTTTGCTTCTCTCTTTCTCTTTCTTTCTCTCTATCTCTCTCTATCTCTCTCTCTCTCTCTATCTCTCTCTATCTCTCTCTCTATCTCTCTCTATCTCTCTCTATCTCTCTCTTTCTCTCTCTGCCTCTCTCTCTATCTCTCTTTCTCTCTCTGCCTCTCTCTCTATCTCTCTCTTTCTCTCTCTGCTCCCCCTCTCTGCCTCTCTCTCTATCTCTCTCTTTCTCTCTCTGCCTCTCTCTCTCTATCTCTCTTTCTCTCCCTGCCCCCCTCTCTCTCTCACTCTATCTCTCTCTTTCTCTCTATGCCTCTCTCTCTCTCTCTCTCTCTATGTGTGGGGGGGAGGGGGGCGTGTGTGTGTTATTTACGCAATCACGGGCGAGCGAGACGTCAGGAGGCATAGAACAATCGAGTCAAAGTGAAACAGACGCAGCAAGATGCAAAAGCGTTGAATTATCCCTAAAGCATTAATTTCACATTCTTCTGATGAACATATCATTATTTATAATTACTAATTGCCAAGCAGCATCTTTTAGCAACTTTTACAACTTTAGCAACTTTTCATTAAATTGTGCAGAAAACTTGCTGTACTATATTATACTGCTGTACTATATTAATATACATATTTTTTATACTTATGTTGTATCATATGATATCTTACGCCTACGTTGACGTACAACGTTAAGAACCAGGAGGTAATATCGGGAAACGAGAAAATGAAACACTGCGCATAAACTAAATGACAAGGGGAAAGGGGAAAGGGGAATCGGTCGACCCGCTCCACCTAGCCTCTTTCAATTTTCAGACTTCTGATTATTATTGGTTACGCGCTGAGCAAGAGACGTGATCGGTCGACAGAGCTGGCGACGATCGCGTGATGACGTGTAATTAAACTTGCTTTAATTATTTTTCTCAATCATTTATTACTCGAGCACGTAATAACTACACCGAACTGAGAGCACAATTTTCTAACGGAACATGACGGAGTTTAATATAACCGTAAATAATAATATTTAGTTTCTCATTTTCCAATTATGAAATTATGTTCGTACAAATGTTGGAAGACAAATCGTCGGGGTATGAAATTTTATTAACTGAAACGCCATAGAAGCAGTAGCGTAGTAGGTGATATAGACCGTAAATATCGATAAATTATGAATTTAGGAACAGAGTATGCGAACGTAATACACAATCGGTAAAAGTACTATAAAAACGTATATTTAAAATTGACACAAATGACAGGGACTTTATGATGGCACAAATCGCTAGATCATTATACCAATGTGATGTAAAAAGGACCATTATACATTGTCGCACTATTTAGCATATTTATAGTGCATTTTTTTTAAAAAAAACGAGCCATCTCGACCATATGATCGGCTCGCACCGGTCATTAATTTACACAGGGATAATTAAACGAACCACTAACGAAACATAGTTCCGACTCCGAATGCTGCACGATATTGCATAGTTCTCTAATTTTGCTGATATAATCATAAAACTTCCTTCATACTGCATTCCAAGTTATTTTATGAGCAGTATTCGCTGTCTACGCACACAGTTAACCCTTTGCACTCGAAGGCAAATCAACGAAAAATTTAATGTAGTTTTTCTGACCCACTGCATTTTCATTTTACATAACCTAATGCATTTTATACGTGTGAAATTGAATTTTGTGACAGTTGCAACAATTATCCTTTTAACAGTTCTTCCAAATATGAAGAAATTTGCTTAATAAAATTATTCTGAAACGTGACGTACACAACAATCATAATGGCGCCTTGGAGTCGCCATTCGACTGGAAAGGGTTAAGCGCCAGTTTCACCCCGAGTACAGTAAATTCTCCCTAATCGACGCTCAGATTGTACACAAAAATGGACAATTTGGAAAGAGAAGGTACGATTAATCGAGCCATGCGACTCTCGTTTTTATAGTTACCGACTGTCGACATAAATAATCGTATCTCCTCTTCCCAAATCGTCCACTTTATACTGTACAATGTTTTACTTCCAATTTGCTGTATACACTTCTCCAAAAGATCTCAAAAAATTAATCTCTTCACGAATTTAACCCTTCATCGCGTAACGAGTCCTAGTAAAATATTAATTCATTCAAACACATTGCAACGAAACAAATTTCCAAACCCAAACCCTTCTAAAACCTCGAATCGGTCGCGTAAGATCGACGCAGCAATCAAACCGCGTATAAAGCCGTAAACGGAAGCATCGAAATGCTTTCCTAACCAGCCAAGTGTATTTAAAGCGACCACGGTGCAGCGGAGAGAGTCTCTCTGCGCCCCGAGCCGGTAGACTTCAGCTGTGCTCCCTATCATTTTCTTCGATCCTCGGACTGTGAACACCGGGTCGGATGAATACAGTGCCGCGGAACAGTAACGATTTCGTCCGCGAGTGTATCACGAAAACCGTCATGCCCGGGAACAGTCATCGGAACGGTGCTTAAGTCGGGGAATAATAGCGCTGGCTGCGGCAAGTTGAGCGTCGGAGTCGCGAAGCCGAGTGAATAGCGTCGGAGGATCGCCGGAGGACCGTGACAATGTGATATCGCGGTGGCTGGCAGCGTGTCCGAGCGAAGGCGAGCAGGAAGCCGGCGTCGAAAATGTGAGCCACGCGCGCACGTGCTGCCAAAAGCGAACTCGGAGCGATCTTGGCACGGGGCCCTCGAAAGACCGCGGCGCCCTTTCCTCGACCAAGTGGACCGTCGAAACAGTGTCGCCCGTGAAACCAAGCAGCCTGACCCGCAGCACGACCCGAGCCCGACCCGGGCCCTCGCCGCACCGCGCCGCACCGCGCCGCACCGCGCCGCACCGCGCCGCGCCGGGACGATAACACAGAGAAACTTCTTCTCTCCGGTTGCATCCGGCGCAGAAACGGAAGAAGCGGGTACGGTGAAAAATTATTTTTACCTCGACTCGTGGCCGGTCCCGTGACTCCGCCGCAGTCGAGGCTTCGCGGTGCCGCCGCGAGAATTCATTGCCACGCTTTCCGGCCATCGAACGACCAAACAAATGTCGAGGATGCTGCGACTCGAGCTGGTGGGTTTCCTGCTGTTGGCCTGCACCCAGATCCTCACCGAGCACCGCGACTTCTACCAGCCGAGGACCCACTACGGCTACTATCCGAGCTTCCACGAGCCACCGGAACCCAGACCGACCAGGGAGGTGCGGGTCAAACAGGGACATCTACGCGGCATCGTCGTCCAGCCGAGGACCAATCACGATCTCCAGGCGGTCGACGTATTCCTCGGTGAGTCTACAGACACGTTATCCAACCGTGAATCCGGCTCGCTGTTCGGATCCGACGGCTCGACAAATTTTCGCAGCGATGCGACTTCGCGCGACTCGTGATGCCGGCTCGTTGAATAGACTGTCCAATAGAAAAATAGTTTACAGCGAGTTTAATCTTTGTATGTACTTCTCGGTTTTTGTCGCGATTCATTGGGCGTTGAATCTTCAGAAGGGTGCTGCTAGTTTGGTCTCGGATAAGGTTCTGCAATAATGTGTAACTTATTGTAATTTTTAACTTTTTTAAATTATACTTAAATATAAATGTAACTTAAAATAATTATATATGAATGTTATTGTTTGTTATTAAAAAGAATTATTGTTATTGTTATTGAAATATTGAATATAATTTAAATATTATTTTTGTATTGCGATAAATTGTGGTAACGAGATGAAACCTATTATAATAAGGGAATGTGTCGCGAATACATTATAAAAACGATTTGAATTATTTTGAGATGATAGAAGGATTAGTGTGTTAGACAGTGCGTAACAATTCTTTTGCAAAAATACAGTTGAGTGAAACGGTAAAGAAAATAAAAAATGTCGTCTTTCAATTTTCTTATATGAATATAACGAAAAATTTAAACAATGAAGTTCTTACATTTATGGGGATATTTCACATTTGATCATTATGATGTCTAAAAATACTGGATTAATGCAAACGTGTTGCAATAGCTCGGATTGACTATTAACCACTACTTTTACCGTGGCATAAATGCAGTATTTTACCGCTTATATTGACAAACAGCTTACAAACACCCATTTACTACAACTTTTTTAATAATCTTGTATTATTCTAGAAATATTGTACAATATCTCCGAATGTCCACCCTTTAGACGCTATTACATTAAAGTACAGGATGTCCCAAAATTATTGTACAAGTAGGAAATGTGGATCCTGAGGTCATTTGAAGTAACTTTTTCCTTAGCGAAAATGCAATCCGCGGCTTCGTTCACGAGTTATTAACGAAAAACGGTGACCAATGAGAGGCAAGATCAGCCGACGCGAGCGGACAAGCCAATGAGCGGTCGAAGCCCAGTTCCGCTGATTGGCTTGGGTTCCGCGTTAAGCTAATCTTAGCTAATCTCGCCTTTAATTAGTCATTGTTTTTCATTAATAATTCGTAAACGAAGCCGCGAATTGCATTTTTGCTAAGAAAAAATTTATTTCAAATAATCTCAGAAAGTCCTCATTTCTCGCTTATTTTAATTGCCTGATTATTACTTGATTATTGCCTGATAATTGCCTGAAATGGTATATACAATAATTTTGAGACATCCTGTTTCAAAATAAAGATTTATGGACAGAATCTTACATAATTGCTACATTGATTATCAATCATAAGTGCTAATCGCAAAGGCTAACCATACAAGTAGCAATCATAGTACTCCAATAAAGTCCACCCAAATGATGTTAAAAAGATCCTTTTCCTATCCGTAATCATTTTCAAGTTAACTCCGAGACGGACGAACTGTCAGGGATAGTTTCATTCCCTTCAATCTGAGTTCCCGCAATTAACCCTTTGACTACTGTTGGCGCCTATTGGCGTCCGAAACATGTTGGCTTCTCGGTACTGTAGGCGCCTATTGGCGTCCGAAACATGTTGGCTTCCCGGTATTGTAGGCGCCTACTGGCGTCCTATTTTTTCATTTATTCGATTTAGCGGTATATAACACATTTATATTATATAACTATGTATCTGGAAGAAATTTAACATTTCGTAAATTTCATTTAAATTTAATAAAACAAATATGAAGAAAATACAGCTTGGATGAAACTAATGGATATAAATTAAAAGGTAAAGAGATACTAACAACGAACCTTTTCGTTTGACGCAAAAGCATTTTCCGTCTCCATATGAAAGCAATACAGCAATTCGGAAAAGTGCAAGGCGTAAATGTGTAGTGTATGTGAAAAATGATAAGAGAAAGGTTACACATCGCGAATGCAAAAAATGTAATGTAGGATTATGTGTTCATCCATGTTTTCAAACGTATCGCACGTTATTATATTACTAAATATGATTATTAAATATTGTAAAAAAAGCTTGAAATTAATGTTCACTTCAAGTAATATTGGTTTGATGTAATAGAGAATTCAGTATTTTGAATATTCTAATATACTTCCTCAGAAATGCGTGTCTAACGAAAAACTTCGCCGTACCCAGTGGACGTCGCGAGTAAATTCGTACCGTGCCGTACGGCCGGTGCGTGCCAAAGTCTGCCGTAGCGAAAGGGTTAAAAACATACGCGCATCCACCATTTTAGACCCATCTGCTGAAACACTAATTCAGTTCTCCAACTCGGTAAAGTTCTATCGAAATCTAAGCAGGTCCGTTCAAATGGTTCGCTTGTAAATTAGATCCGCGTTAGAACAGCGCCAGCGTCGACCGAAGTTTAAGTAGGTTAATACCCGATTACAAATTAGACTCCCAAAAATTAGCCACCAAGGATATATACAGACTTTCTCCGAGCATCGGGTAGAGGAGCATCGACGCGCGCAGAAAATTCCTCCGAAATACGTCCTTAAACCCGCCGGCAAAGTCAATCACAGCCATAGAAATCCGCTCACAATCATCCCGAAGAGCAAGTTCGGAAGTTCGGGGGGCCCAATCACCGGTCCCCCCTCGTTCCCTTCTACCCCGGTGTAACCCGTAGGTCCAGGGGAACGATAACACGGCCGGTTTCCGTGCGCCGATACGGTGAACTTTGGCTCGGCCCGATCCGGCCCGACGAAACTTTCCTCTCGCAGCTGCATCAGCTTTCGCCCGTTCACATTACCGCTACGTATCCGCACTTCGAGAATCTCGATACGTCAAAGGCACCGAAAACGAGAGCCGTGCCGGCTATTTTCGGAATAGATGCGTCCCCACCACGTGCCGCGAATGTCGCGCGTGCACGACAGTCCGCGCACGCTCGCTTACACACACAGTCCGACTAATATATACAGTTACTCAGGAAATTGTGAGCGTGCACCTTTTAAAACTTTTTGGAACTGCTAACTTTTTTAAAACCGGACCAAGTGACTTGTATTTTCTTCTTACGATAGCGGGACTAGTCTACTAAACGACGATCGAAATGCTTTCTTTTAATTTTCTTATTATTTGGAATGACAATAAAATAAATAATATCTCGCTTTTTAACTTTCTTATCCGAGCCAATAATGAAGATTTAAAAAATGGCTTTCGTAGATCTCGGTAAATCACATGTACGCTGAAAATTTTATCGAAATCGTTTGACGTGGCTGCGAGTTACAACAAATTAAACGTGGCAAAAATCGCAGTTTTATCACGAGTTTGACCAAATATTGAACAAATTTGCGGTTTTTTAAATCTTTCAATGTCTGTAGCTCGACTCTGGGTTAACCGATTTCGAACAAATTTTCTGCACGCACACAAGTTACCGAGATCTACGAAAGGCACTTTTTAAATTTTTATTATAGACTCACGTAAAAAAATTAAGAAACGAGAGTTTTCTATTTTTCTTGTTATCCCAAGTAGTAGCAAAATTAGGAAAAGGCATTTTAGTTATCTAATTTAATCTAATCTAAATTAATCTAATTAGCCTCTATCATCTAAAAAAAATTCAGCTCACTTAGTCCAGTTTTAGAGAAGTTATTGCGTTATAAATGGTGTAAACGCTCAATTTTGTGAGCGACTGTACTTTCCCGAATTCCACGGAAGCTTTTGATATTCTTTGGCGTTTATAGCTTCTTTCCAATGCACGCGCGCTCGCAATGCTTCTATTATTTGCTTACTAAGGAAGCCTGGTGATTGATTCACGCTGATTTCGACGAAACTTTGCACAAATGTTTAACACTAAACACACCGAGGTCTTAAATTGACCAGTACGCGTTGCCTTATAAAAGTTACAGGATTGAATTACGAAATTACAATTTTTATGGTAGCGTATAACGGGACGAAGAAATACGTTCAACAATTTCCAATGGCAACAGCTTTATGATCTCAATAATTATAAAATAAAATATTTCATAGATTTAATCTTTTACGTTCTTTAACGGGGTTATATATATATATATATTCGTTGTTAATCTTTGCTATGGTCGCCGCATAAAAATTCCTTTGGTACACATTTGGTTGTCACGGTTAAATTACTTATTATTTCGGGCCCAAAAAATTAATAATATTCTTGTATATATAATATATAAATAAGTATGTATATATAATATAAATAAGTATGTATATATAATATAAATATCTTGTAATTAACAAATATATTCTTGAGACGTATTCTAAAATAAGGATGAACGACATTTTTCTTAATATTATTACTTGTGCGTAGTAAAAAAGATACGAAAAGTTTCAAGCATGCCGACTTGTTTATGTTCCGGGCGCGACACGAAGCACGAGCGTAGCCCCCTCTCGCCGCCGCACCCCGCAACAGCACCGTAGTTCCGCTCGCTGCCTCGGCCGCTGCGTCAGCTGACCTTGCCTCGCATTGGTTGGTGTCTTTCGTTAAATAAATCGTAAAGAAAGTCGCGGATAGCATTTGCCCTAGGGAAAAGGTTACATCAGGCAATAAAAATTATTATGGTACACTTGTAGAGGGAAAGTCGTAAGTTATATGCACTCCCTTTAAAGCGTGGGGTTAATCGCAACAAAGATACAGCTTGTTACATTATATTCATTTCAATAAAAGTAATAAAAAAATATCATTTCCATAGAATTATGATTGTACCACATTTAAGGTATAATTTGTTTAACCCCTTAACTTGTACGCTCGAGTTAATTCGAGCGCGCTAGACAGGCCAAACTGTGCGCACTCGAGATAATTCGAGCGGCGTTGTATTTTATGCTGCTATAATTTTTCACACTCGAATATAATCGAGAATTGAAAATAACAATGTGAAAGCAAAGAAAAAAAATCGTGTTAGCACTTATTTATTCAAGAATAAAATACAGCCTTTTTCCATGGAACAAAAGCGCAGTATATCAAAAT